TATTACAGCAACTAGTGATAACATTAATAAAAATCACTGCCAATTTATTATTGACTAGTGATACTTTTTTGTAAGAATTGGAAGAAGAGGTATTTCTATATTTATATTTCTATACCCTTATAGAAATATCATACTAAGAATCATTGATAATTACTTATTATCCAGTATTTTTAATACTAAAAATAAGTAATTATCAATGATTCTTAGTATGATATTTCTATAAGAGAATAAGATGCAAAACAATCTTAATAATTGTAATTAATAAATTATAAACTGTTTCAGCATGTATAACTGAAGAAAGAAAATGCACACTACATGATGTACAAATAGTTGTACAAGAATGATTGCGCCACGCAAGAGATCGCATTATATACAATACAAAACAAAAAAATAATATTTGTATATAAATATATATTATATATTAAAAACATTATATATTATTAATTGTTATTATAAAAAATAAATATTAAGAAAATTATTAAAAAATATTTAGATTTATTATTATAACTTAGAAAATGTGTAAAAAACCTCACAAATACGTCTTAAAATATTGTTCTAAAGATGTCTTAAAGACGTCAGAAAAATGTCTTAAAGACATCAGAAAAACGTCTTAAAACAATGTCTTAAAGACGTCTTAAATATGATGCCTTTAAGACGTCTTAAAAGCGTTTTAAATCGACACATAAGACATCTTAAAGACGTCATAATGACGTATTTTTCGTTTTTTTTTTGGACGTCTCAAAAATTTTAAGACGTCTTTAAGACGTCATAATGTTGTCTGGGAAGATGTTAGTCACAGAATATCGCACCTATCACATACTGTAGATATGTCACTTTAAGACACATTCTTATAAAATTTTTCAAGTTATATAGTTGAAAAGTGATGAAGATAAAAATATTTTTACAAAAGCCAAATGCATGTAGAAGAACTTAATATTGAACAAAATAATAATTATTTCTATTTAATCTACGTAATTCGTCAATAAAAATCATAGAAGTAATCTGCGAATTTCTAAAACTCGATACTTGCTATTTAGCATATAAAGGAACAAGAAATATACCAAGTATGAATTTTTTATAACTTAACTGATAAAACGGATTACGTTTATATTAGTTTCGATAAAATACAACATTTAATATATGAGATATAAAAGTATGTCGCTTTAGGAGGCCTATGCCGCTTTTGGCTACTTTTCTCTAAGCATTCTAGTATAAGTTGAGTTCATTGGGCGTATTCAGTAGAAAAAGCGCTCAGTGAGCAATCAACGATTATTGGTTCTTGCTATTAGATCCCTAAATCTAGACCAATTACATTGACAAATTACTCAACTGTTGTGCAACTGTTGAGTCTGCTGAATGCAGCCATTGATACCTATTATATGCTGCCTCTCACCTTACTGCTGCGTTCCTTTTGGGCGTTTACGTGCTGTAAGCGGGGTGGGACCCGATTGACCACGATACGATTGGACACAGATTGTAATGATTGGTTGGACCTAGTAATTCACTAGATAATTCTTTTCATCGGTTGGTTGTGTCCAATCGTACCGTGGTCAATCGAGACGCTCCCCTGTAAGCGTCATTATATCTTTATCACTCATTAGATGCGGAAGAAAGATAAATTGACGCTTATAAGCGCTTAAAGCGCGTGAGCGCCCAAAAGGAACACAGCCTACGTTTGTTCCTACCTCCACCTTAATTAGCAGTCCATTCTATATGTCAATGGGTGCTTTCCAATTGCAATATCCCTAGACACTTTCATGCACACGGTAACACAAGTTGCATTCCAATTGTCGTAATTGTCGACACAACATTACACATTCGTACTAAGCTCGAGGGCTACTAGTCGGTTGTGTTAACTAGTGTTTTCTAGTGACAATTAAAGTTAATAAGCGTAGCGGCTTGAAAAAAGACTGGAATTTACGACGTGAAGTAGATAATATCTTTTTTAATATTTAAATTTTATTATTTATTATTAAAAAATACCAAAGTATAAGCACAATTGAAAAATAATCCTAACCCTACCCGACATACGTATACACTTTGTTCCAATTGAATCGTGCATAACGTTAAGGTGCGATTTCACGCAGCGAATAAAAGCTGGCGTTTCACCCCACTCCATCGTTGTTCAAAGCAGCGTTTAAAAGCTGTTCGCTATCACCTGTATCCTTTTCATGCAGCGAATAAAAGCTAGCGTTTTATCCCCACTTCAACATAGATCAAAACAGCGTTATAACGCTGTTCGCTGTCACCCATATCCTATTCACCACGTTTAACCTCCTGTATAAACTGCAATAAGTATAAAAATGGAGTGTTATAATCGAGATATGGAGTATATAAAATATTATAGATGTACAGTGACGATTATAGGTGAAGTTCGAAGACGATATATAGCTGCTGTAGTTGCAACGATGTATTTGTTAAAAAAGAAAAAAATACATAAGACGAAAAAACTAATTAATTTAATATAAATAAATAAGATACAAAGAGTAGCCTATAGGTTATAACCTATATAAATATGCTGACCATATATAATATATACCAACTTCGTTTGTATTATCGGGCGCTGTCAATTTATCAGTCCCTTCAGCCATAATTTTTTGTTTTTATTATAATTTGCTGTTTTCCCAATGAAAAATTTTTCATACATAATTATATACAATTATATATAGTTATACATAATTATATATTATTATATATCAAATTTGTCCATTCATATTCATACATTCTACTAATACATATAATCATGTATAATTATATATATAAATTCATATATAATTTTACACTTACAATTACGCATAGATTTATATGTAATTATACATATTGTTATACATAATTATGTATAATGATATATAATGTTATACGATTATACATAATTATGTATGGACAAATTTCATACATAATTATGCATGAAAAATTTTTCACCGAGTTTATATGGCCTATTTTATTCACTTAATTAATTACAATCACTTGATCCAGTTAAATCGCTAGAAGTTGAACTGTGTCGAACTTTGAGCGTTTATCTGCTTCATTCGTCTTTTTAGCGATAATTAATGGAGTAGTGGTAAACGCCAGCTTTTATTCGCTAAAAGTTGGACTGTGTCGAACTTTGAGCGTTTATTCGCTACATTCGCCATTTCGGTGAAAATTGATGGAGTGGGGTGAAACATCAGCTTTTATTCGCTGCGTGAAATCACACCTTTACACTTAGTACATTTCTGTGTATATATGTGTCAAGATGTGTTAAGCAATTGGAAAGCACCCAATGACTTTTCTCTATACTGGGTGCTTTCCAATTGCAATATTCCTAGACACTTTCATGCACACGACGACACAAGTTGCATTCCAATTGTCATAATCGTCGATACAACACTACACATCCGTACTCAGCTCGAGGGCTACTAGTCGGCTGTGTTTTCTAGTGAAAATTAAAGTTAATAAGCGTAGCGGCTTGAAAAGAAACTGGCATTTGCAACGTGAAGTGGATAATATCTTTTTTATTATTTAGATTTTATTATTTATTATTAAAAAATATCAAAATATAAGCATGTTGAAAAATAATCCTAACCTTATCCGACATACATACACAGTAGTGCACACTTTGTTCCAATTGAATTGTGCACAACGTTACACCCAGATAGAAAAATGTGTTTATTCTGAGTTCATATTGTATTCATATATCTTCAAGCATGAGGACAAGAATAGACACCGATGCGGGCTCATATACGCCTCAGAATGTAGATTATTTTGTAGATTATATATGTTATTTTTGAGACATCATGTTATGATGTCTCAAAAATAACTCATTTAATAATAATAATCAACATCATGTCAAAAATTTGCAACATAATTTGTATATCATTTGTGTGCAACTGGTGCTCATGTCATGAGATCACGTAATGATCTTTAAAAAAGTATCAAATTGGAGTCATAGTATGAAGTCATATTGTGATGAAACATGATCATCACGCTATCTGGGCACTTTGTGCATTTCTGTGTACATATGTATCAAGAGGTTCGTTCGAGTTGCTTGTATTATTCACACTTTTACACCTAATGCCCGTTGCATACTAGTGCACCTCATACAATACAAATTTTCCAAAATACGTTCTGAAGACGTTTTTAGGACGGAGGGATGTCATCAGAATATTTTTAGAACGTCCTTTGAAGATGTGAGCTGTCTAAAAATAGTTAATATCTAATAAGTTTATTCGCATTAATTGAACTTTTTACAATTTCACACTTAGTGCATATTAATTCTTTAGAGGTTCTAAAAATGACGTCATGAGTTCCGTTCGTGTTACGAGTGTAATTGCAATTTTGATACACTTTTTACACTTGATCCCAAGCAAGAGTGAAAAGTGTATCAGAATTGCATTTACACTCGTAACACGAACGGAAAACATGACGTCATTTTTCGCCATCTAAAGAATTAATGTGCACTAAGTGTGAAAGTGTAAAAAATTCAATTAATGTGAATAAACTTATTGGATATTAGCTATTTCCAGACAATTCACACTTTCAAAAGACGTCCTAAGAATATTCTGATAACGTCCCTCCGTCCTGAAAACGTCTTCAGAATGTATTTTTGAAAATTTGTGTTGTTTGGAGTGCACTAGAGTGCAACGGGCATTAGATGTAAAAGTGTGAAAAGTACAAGCAACTCGAACAAACCTAAGATGTGTTAAGCAATTGGAAAGCACCCACTGTCGGTAACAAAAATAAGATATGATATGAACACTCGTGTTATCTTCAGTACAGCCAAAACGGTCGGTATTGTTATCGCTCTTGTATTACCTCTATTTGCCAGGTCAAAAATTTACTCAGGGCGTTAATAGTACTTCGTCGGTGATATCGCGCATGATGAAAACGACAATTGAATGCTTACGCGCGTCTGTAACGTGTCGTCGCCTGCCGGCCTTTACTCGAAGCGCAACGCTGCATTTCGTTGCATAGCGACGGAGGGTTATTTGCACTGTTATTCGGCGAATTCGAATCGTGATTGCGGGCGCGATAGTTCCGTCGCCGGTTAGAGGGGTAAGTCGTTTCGCCGATCGGATATCCGTCTTTCTCATAGCCGACGACGATGAGCGACGTCACGATGAGCAATCGCCCGGGCGATGAAACCACGTACGACATCGGAGACGCGGATGATGAACGTGACGCGACGTGGTTGCGAGGCAACGATGAACGCGAACTTGCAGAATATGATGTGGACAGCGTCACTCATCACGACGACGACGATGTCCAAGTACCGTCGCGTACGATGGAGGAGACGTTGCGACAAGTGCAGCGCGAATTGTGCCTAATCAGATTATGCTGGCCGGAAGTCTTGCCGACGACGGAAACCCTTTACGCGCGATCACTTCCGGACGCTTACCGATGCGTCAACGACAAGGAGCGATTGTTGCTATGGTACGCGGAAAACTTCCGTCGGCAGTTTCACGCGAGGCATACCGATCGCAGGCCACTGTTGCTGGCGTGCGAAAACGAATGCGGCGTGCAAGTTAGTAAAGTTTCGAACATTTTATTTTCCGATTTGCCACTTTGCCTTCCCTCACTTCACGATTCTTGTCGTATCTGATATATTATAAATCATGTACACTCGCGAAAAAATATTACATATATTATATATGTGTGAATTTTATCTTCATATGTAGCCATCATATGTGATCATACACACAAAAAAGTAGATATTGCATTCAAATAAATGTTACTTGTTACAATTTCTTCATAACTTTATGTATCTATAAATCTGTAAATCTATCATAAGTTTCATCAGAAATATCAAATTTATACAAAAAGAATTTTAGACACCTATACATACATCTAGAGATATTCATTCGTGATATGTTTACCTTTACTTGTATATCTTTTTCTATAATTATAAGAAATGAGGAAACGATAGAAACGGAGCAGTGGCTTAAGCTCATTGTTAAGTGAATAGCACGTGTTGTAGCGAAAGACTGCGAACGACATGGATCATGAAGCGAAAGATTGTCTCTTTAAGTTATTATACTATTAATTAATCAATTGTCTGATTAGGTATAGGTACAGATAGTTAGGTAGGATAAGTAGTTTGTGACATGACAGTCGTGCGAGGCATTTTGTAAGCGTCCGTATATTTTGTCTTTTTTCGGAAGAATATATATATATATATATATATATATATATATATATATATATATATATATATATATATATATAGGATAGCGCAAAAGAAACGAATCGATTTAAAAAATTTATAATCTTTTTAATTTAATTTTTCTTTTCCTTTTTCTTTTCAGACTTTATAAAGGAGATCAGGAAAAATAAATTAATAAAAATAAAATTAATTAATTAATTAAATAAATCAAGGAAAATAAATTATGGAAAGATATACGATTACCCAACGAACAAAAATCATAGAATTTTATTTTCAAAGTCAACATTCGTTAATACAAACACAACGAGACTATTGCCGCCATCTCAATGTAAGAAATCCGCCTTCCATTTTCATGATTAGACGATTGGTGGAACGGTTTCAGCAGCAGGATTCAGTATGGGGTTTGCCAAGAGTCGAAACCACGCACTGCCCGAAGTGAAGAGAATATTCATTTTGAATATTTTGAAAATAAACTTCTGATTTTTATTCGCTGGGCAATCATGTATCTTTCCAAAATTATTTTTCCTGATCTCCTTTGTAAGGTCTGAAAGGAAAAAGAAAAAGAAATTAAATTAAAAAAGTTATGAATTTTTTAAAAACCAGTTTGTTTCTTTTGCGTCACCCTATATATATTTTTTCGCAAAGATATATATATATTTGTGAAAAGAAAGACTGGGTTTTTTGTATAGACCTGAAAGTTCGTGGCTTCCTACAATATACTTGTAATATAAGATTAAATATTTTAATCAAAAATGTTAAATTGAAACAAAAATTTTTTTAGCTTGCTTGCTATATAGAGTCGAATCGACTTTTTCTTCGATAAAGTGTTATAATATTCTCGTAAAAAGACTAAATTCTTCTTCTTTTGAATATATAATAATGAGTCTTTAAAAATTTGTGATAAAGTATATTTTAAGACTGTCATAATGAAAATATACTTTATTGAAGAGAGGGAGATAATCATCACATAAAAGAAGCAAAATAATTGCTTTTCTTAATAGTAAAATATTTTTCTATATATGTGTAATTATATACATGTTATGTTCATATATAGAGAAATGTAGAAATATTGTTATACAAATACAATTAAAGTAATTGTTTGTGTTTGTGTCTGCCGTGGCGATGACATTCAATTGAATAAAACTTTTTTATTTTTTATCCAATAGTATTTTTTGGTGGACATGTATTATCTCGAAAAACAAAAAGTCTGAAATTTTTGAACAAAGATAATTGTTTAAAAAATCTTAATACTGATATTCGAATACCGATTGGCCAAAATACAATTTTATCGAAGTAGTGTACAATCTGCCTGAAAAATTATAATACCGAAATCCGAATATTGAGAAAAATTGCTGAAATATTGGAAACATTCAATTTTCCCGAAAGATCATAATAACGAAATGTGGAGACAAAACATTCACAAAGTATATTAAAAGTATATAATGGCGTGAAATTTTATTATATTTATTACTTTTAAGTCATGTATAGTATGCTGAAAAGTACATAGTTTTCATCACTGAGAGGAGAGGAGAGGGAATGTAAGTAGAGGGAAAATATAATATTCAGAGAGAGAGAGAGAAAGAGAGAATATGTATATTTATGAGATCCAGGGATCATTGTCGATTTTAAACTTATGATTCATTATGCGATAATATCTGCCAATGAAATTGTTCGTCTATTTTAATTTTTTATAAACAGAAAATCTTGATGTTGTTCGGTTTATCGAAAACTGCGAGAAATAGTAAAAATAATATTTTAGTCTTGTCTTCCACAAATTTTGAACAATTTTTTAAACTTTTTAAAACATTATAACTGTATCTTGTTGCAGTAATAAGGTAAAACTATCATTTTTGTTAATATATGTTGTATTTCATTAAGGTAAAAATGCCGAATAAGCGGCCACCTTCTAATGATCTTGATGACATATATTATCAAGAGCATCCTCTTAAGCAACAATCAAGAGGTTTTAACTGTCGTTCATTGTTTATTAAAAAGTTATTAACAAAAGAAGTTCCATGAATAAAACGTAATTTTGGGACATAGTGTATATTAATAATTTAATAAGTTTAAAAAGTACATTTTTACATACACAGAAATATAGCAAATAGTACATATATATACGCGTGGGAGGGACTTCGGCTCTCCACTCGCATCCTCACCAAAAAAACTAACCCTAATCTAACCGATCCATTAAATCGAATAGTAAATCGTACACGTACACTATACAAAAAATATTGTAAACCGTATCTGCATTTTTATTTTTACATTGTTTTCTGACAAATTATATATAAAAAAGTAAAGGATAGGTTGCGCATATACGTGTACATTTTACTATATTTCAATAAATGAGTTAGATTAGGGTTGATTTTTTTGGAAGGGGATACGAGGGGTGCGAAGCCCCTCCCCCATGCATATATGTGTATTGTTTTACATACGTACATCGATTTAATAGTATAGTATAGATTTAATAGTAAGTGAGGGGAAGGAGTGCAGAGGGAAAGGCGTATATTTGCTATTTACCATTTTTTAATGTACACTGTGTCGCAAAATTACGTTCTATTTATAGAACTTCTTTTGTTAATAACTTTTTAATAAACAATAAACGACGGCTAAAGCCTCTTGATTGTTACTCAGAAGGGTTAGTTCTATGATATTTGTCAACATCAAGACCGTTGGTATGTACTATATACAGGATGTCCTATTTTAATAGAAACAGCCATAAATTAAGAATGATACGAAAAAGTGTTTCAGACTAAAGTTGTAGAATTTTAAGAAGAAAAAATATGGTAATATTTTTTTTACTTTGAAATGTGTGGCCTTAAAAAGCCTTGGTGAGACTTTTATTCTCCAGTCTTCTTTAATTAATAATTCAAAATTTTGGTTACTCGAAAAATAGTAGAGGAATTGTTTGTTTAATAATATTCATCTATATATATACGACAATCCTGCATGTTATCGTCAGACACCTTGTATTCATATCTTTACGTATCTTTACGTATCTTTACGTATTTTAGCTACAAAAAGCAAAACTGCAGACTTTGTTTCGGTCCATTACTTTCGAATGGTCAAAAATTGATTTCTTTTTCGATTAATTCGCGACAGTTCAAAGTATTTCGGTCTCAGTGATCGTTTAGCAAAGTATTCCGTTCTCAAAAGTTTAAAGAAAGAATAGCAATTTGTAATATGTTAATATCTGACATGTACAAAACGATGACACGGCGCGCCATTTAGCCGCACGAGTCGTTTTCGCCTGGTTCGATTATCATTTTGCAATGCATTGTACCGATCTTGCGGTCACACTTTTATTTTCGTGATCGAATATTCGGTGTAAGTTTGTTCCACAATATTAAACAGAAAGATCACAACTATCACACCGTTGTATCGGTACGAATGAAATATCAGGCAAGTGAGAGATGTATACTATGGCATTTTCAAAGAGATTATCAATAATATAACTGGATGAGATTGCAAGTGCAAACGCGAACGTTCTTTCTTCACGACCCGCAGTACGACGTGATTACCAAAGAATTACCGCGCGATAACACTCAATTTAGTAGCGTCCCGAATGGATCTCGTTAATTTAGATTGTTAGGGTTATTGAGATTGAAATGCATTGAGATTGGAGCACACTATTTAATTCGCTAATGACATTTCTAAAGCTCATTGATTCGATAAAGGATACAAATCTATGTGGTAAGGGATTGATTGAGTGAGACACGATTTGTTTAATTTTCTTTTATTTTTAAAATTTTTTTTATTTTTCTCTTAAGAGAGACCGGATCAGTATTCTCTTAATATACTTTCGCGACGTCCACTCTCATTGTACAAATTTGACAAAAACTAAAATCCCTTTGAATAAAACACCGTTATTTACATTACGGTGTACGCATTTTTTGGAACATAATAATAAGACATGAACGTATAGCGGAATGTATTTTTCGGTCTTTCAACTGATAGCAATTAATAGTCATACAAAAATCAGTCTAATCTATCAGTTTTCCGTTAAATCTATATGTTGTCTAAATAATAAAAATAAATCTCGCTATACGTTTCTTAATACATAAACTATATACTATCATCATTAAAATAGTTAACCTAACAGTCTTATATACACGCCTGTGCTGTGGTCACAGTTGCTTCGCTTTGGTTTATCTCTTACAAATAACTTTATATCATTCTTTTTTTGTTACAAACGACACGCATGTCGCATCATCACTAAATACGACGGAAGCTGTGCGCGTGTTTGCGAATTATAATATAATCAATCAAACTTTTGACGCATTTTACGCATTATTAACGCATTTTCAAAGTTATTACAGTGAATAAAACAAAAATACGAGAGAGATTACATGAGATGCGTGAGAAAAAATATGAAAAATTACAATTAAATAAAATCACGACAGCTTCGGTATCGTAGAATTCTTATACTGGACCGCCAACATCCAAGGAGTAATGTGCGAAAAAGTGTACACAGTAAATGGTGATTCGGTAACTGTGTTTCAGAAACAATCAATAATTGCGAGTGCAATGGAGTGCGAGCGTAGCACAGTGGAATAGACACTAGTCTACTTACCACGCTAGAGGCCAGGATTCGATTCCCAGAGAAACGAAACAAATTTTCGTATGCTCGCACTCCTCTCGGTAGGCCTGGCAAACCTCCGAGAGTAGTATAGGATAAGAAACCCAAAGGATAGGAAATCCAAAAGGATGGAATAGGCAAAAAAGATAGTGTATTAGGTTAAGTATAGATTAAGATACACCAAAAAAAAAAGGAAAAATAAAAAGGCCAAAAGAAAGGAGTTAAGGTTTAAGAAAAATAGATTAAGATGGCGAAAAGGAATAAAGATAAGGCGTGTAGGAAAAAAATGCGTGTAGAAATAAGGAAATAAGGAAAGTAAGGAAAAAAATATATAAATCGAAGAACTTCCCGGCTGTGTAAAAGCTGAAGTTGAAATAAAAAATAGAAGATAGAAGATATTGATAGAATAGATATTGATAAAATAGATATTGATAGAATAGATATTGATAGAAGATAAAAGATATTGCGAGTGCAATGATTATGTCATTCGCGCGTAATGTAATTTCCATTGTATCTCACGTTGTTTCCTTGAGATGCTACTAAATTGTAATTTAAATAATACTATACGACACCCTGTCATAATATTCCGTACATCTGTACGCGATTATCTTTTTCATCTCACTCCATGAGATTTCGTCCCGTATAACACATTTGTTAGCGGTCCAGTGTATACCCTATACCCTATAGACTAGAGTTTGGGTTTATCACGATATCCAATTCGCGAAATTGAATTTATCACGAATCGCCGTCTTTAAAACTATTACATAAAATAAAAAATATATAAAGAGAGGCAAAAATGAATGAACACACACGAACGCGATGCCTCTTCTCCGAGATTAATTAAAAAAAAGCCTAATTAGCTAATTTCGTTTTGTACAGAAGTTCGTATCTACATCTATCAGACGATGTACGCCGCAGTATCCTGAACTGTACACGTGGCAGGGATGCGCAAGCTTCATCAGTGATTACATCTGCTACGAGGCGCCGTATGAAGCGTTTCTCATGGTAAGTAAACGCGCCTTCTTATTCTAAGTGGTACATCATGGTACCAACCGAGCGACATGTGGAGTCCTTTCGAAAGTCACGCTAGACTCCACTCCATGAGATTCTCGCTGGCGTAGTCAACGAATGTCGCAGTACGCGAATTTGGCCCGTTCTCTTACCACGTGCAAACTATATATTATGTATGTGTAAGTACATATGTGTATATATATATATACACATACATATATATGCACGTGTATATATATGTATATATGTACATTTGCTCTACTTATATATTAACGGAACTGGTCAACGGAAAATGGAGGTAGTAATTGTCAGGAAAACGCGGATTTACAACATCCGCCGTACATCGTGCTTCCGTTTCGCCATATTTGCCATCGCGATTGACGAAAATGTGGAAGGAAAAAAAGAAGAAGAAGAAATGAAGAGATTTGACTCCATTGCCCTTTATACAGTTTTAATTTATCTATTTTGTATTTTTTCTTCAAACGTTACGAATTGCACTAACAAGTGACAAAATAATTATATACATATTTTATAAATGCAACGATATCATCATTATAAGTTATTATGTTTTTATAATATAAACTTTATACATTTCTATATACATAAACAGAGAATTATACACATTTATTAATAATTAGTAGCAATTACTTTGTTATTTATCAGTGTATGTCATAACATACGTCAAGAATAAAAAATGCAAGATAGATAAAAAGTAATAGATAAACATCGTAAAACCTGACTATCATGTTACAAGTTATTGTTACTTCTTGTGTCTACCACTGTATACAATCCCTATTCTTCTTCTCCTTTTTTTCATTTATAACAAATATTTCTATGTACATCGGCAAATAGGGATATTCGGTAATAAGTAGTGCATGTATATACTATATCTCGCGACTCGTTATAATACTAAATAGTTATACAGTCTTTTTATACAAACATGTACAAACTATTCAGGTATCTTAATTTATCATGTACAATATGTACATATGTAAAATGTATGTACATATAGTATAGTTAGTACGAGTGCGTGCGTACAAACACGTAAATATATTTACATACACTCACGTATTTATAATTATGATAATATATACAATAAAAATATCGCTCTTACCGATCGTATGGGACTTCAGCTTAGGAGAAAATTGAGTACGACACATGAGGTATCACCTCTCTCTTCTTCTTCCTTCTTTCGTTATTTATAATACGGCGGATGATGAAATATGATATTTTACGATATGACACGACATCGCATGTGGCTCCACTGATGTCTTACAAGTTCATGAGACCACCTCCGTCTATACCGTTGTCGATTGTGATTTCTTGACCCAATTTAGGATGTCCACGATGAATTTGTGCACAAACGCTTATCTCTTGATCTTGAACAGTAGTTGTTCAACTACTCTTGTAGTCAAATGCTATGAATTCTTCACGAAATTAGAGATGCTGAAAATTGCCTTGTCGGTCCGCAGCATCTCTATTACCTCTAATGAAAATGTTGGTTCCATTTCGGGCGGTGTCGTAAGCGTAACCCTTTCGGCAATAGCCACAAGAATCGAGGAGTTTTTACGGTCCTCCGTTGCAGATATCAGATTCGGCGATTTTCGCGTGTATCTGGAAATATCCTGGGCACGACGACTAAGTTTTTCTTGTCAATGGTAAGATCCAATACGTTCACTATAGCGTATACCGATCATGTAGCGAATGCTACCGATTTCCCTTATGTTGATAATGATGTTATTGATACTCGTCTTGTTACTGACCATCGCTGTGCTAATTCGTTGTGCATTCAGCACGTATTGCGCGATCAACGTCCAGAACGTTTCGCTGCTGATTGCGTCATCGTCATCGGTACTGGTGTTCATTTGTCTAAGATGAACGTTGTTTACATATGATGATGCTGATGCAGGTGTCGTGATTGCTTCCACTGTAGATATTATGCTTGGCGATTTTCGCGTGTATGAGCTAGAGATACCATGGGTTAGTGCAATAACAATATTCCTGTTAACGATAGTCCAACGTGTTCCCCATAGCGTTACTGATATATTTCTCATCGTGCGAACGCTATCAATGCTGCTAGTGCTGATAGCGGAATTACTAAGAGCTGTTACTGGCTATGTCGGGAATGTGATGTTATTGGTCCTGCAATATTGAAATCTGTTCTCTATTAAACGGAGTTGTTACGTGGCATTATGTTTTCCAGTCTGAGTTATATTGTTACATAATATATTGGGCATTAGGCATCATCAATGCAAATATGATAGCGTAATTTGAACCAATAGAGAACGTCCACAATGTACTTATGTTCAAGCAACTGTTTCTCAGCAATGGTTTGGCAACGCCTCCAACATCTACAGTGTCTGCATCATCTTTGAGAAAAATCTTGGCTCGATCACGGATGGTGTTGTTAACGTATCTCTGTCAGCAGTAGCCGGAGTAATGGAGTAATCTTCACGTTCTTCGCAATTGTCCGATCTTCTATTCGAGACTACGAGCCCTATACTCGCTGCTGAATGTTGCCAGCATATCCTGGGTTGACGCAACGGCGTTGTTCCTATTACCGATAGTATAGTCTAATGCGTTCCCCATAGCATTACCGATTATATTTCCTATATTCTCGTATTGTGAACGCTATCAATGCTGCTAGTGTTGATAGCGGAATTACTAACAGTCGAGCTGTTAGTGGCTATTGTGGGAAACGTGATATTATTTATCCTGGTATATTATAACTCGTTCTCTGCCAAGTCAACAGAGTTGTTGCGTGGAATTGTATGCTTCAAACTGGGCAATATTGTATATATGTTGCGCTGGGCACTAGGAATCATCGATGCAAACAAGGCAGCAGCATAAGCCGGATTATAATTGTGACCTTTAAAACTACCAGCCAAACTTGTAAGTGAACCTGACAAGACGGTCTATGGACTCTTCTGCCGATCGGTAGTCTGTCTTTGCCTTTTTTGCCATCGGAGTGTCTTCATTCGGTGTAGCCGGTAATTGTCGGTTATTGCTTGAATGCCGACTGCCACTTGATTGTCGGCCATTTGCCGACATTGAGCGACCGTTGCCGATGTTTACCGGGGAGTGTCGCGAAATCACCTCAGTTGCCATATTGCTACACTAGCTGCGAATCTTGTGTTCTGCCTTGCACCAATCGCGCAATATGGACTTCGGGACTTTGATATCTCGAGCAACTGAAGCCTTACTCTCGCTATCGTGAACGCGGTCAATGGCGCTTATTTTGTTCGCCGGTAAAATGTTTCTCCGGGCGCGATTGCCCGTTCCTCGCTGCTACTGCAATCACTTGCATGAGAATGCAAGTTCATACCATCAAGCGAATATAGTCAGTTGGCTAACCATTATTGGTGACGTTCTCGTTGATGTGCGTCCTGCTACTTGTTGTACGGCGTTCGCGTACCCGTGACCTACTACGATCACGACCGTCCATAAGGGATTAGTAATTGTAGATCCAGTTTGGATAAATGAGGATCCAGTGTGTATAGATTTTCTTGATCTTTTCACGCGTTATCGGTAAACACTTTCCTTAGTCTCTTCACACTCGCAGGGCTCGCCTCGTGCGTGCACGTCGCCGGTTTTCTTGTGGTTCTTCTTCGTTTGCTTGATGTGATTTGACGCTCCCTACGTCAATAAACGTTTTAGCTTTTAAAACGCTTTATCCACTGATCGATTACTACAATACAGATCTCCTCTACCTGCAAACATGCGAGAAATTTTAATCATAGCTATGGTTTATATAGATAGAAGGAGATAGAAACACGAAAAATGACAACAATGACAACGATAATAACAGTGCGAGAACGAAGCGGCATGGCACATTCGCCGGACTTTAATTCCTACCGCGAAATTATGTACGTTTCGCGAAAGGCAATTCGACGTATGATGAGAGAAAACTAAAGAGGACGAGCATGAGATATAGAGAGAGCAAGAGAGAACTAACCGATAAAAAAGCAACTCGGATCTGATTACATTTTTCGTCCAATGCCACGATTATCGTAGTAACGTGGTGTTATTGGTTCTACTGTATTACATTTTGCTCACCAGACTAACGGAATTGTTACGTTGATGCATTATAATATATAATATGATAATACAATGAAAGAGTGATTCTTACCGTTTAAATGGAACGTCAACTTGAAAAAAATTGGGTATGGCACATGGATCGTAGGGACGCTACTTTCGCATCTCCTCCCTTCCTTCCTTCCTTCTTTCACTGTTTACAATACAAACGGCGGATGATGGAAAGTGATATTTTACGGCATCATAATTGTCTTCCTTCGTCGTGTGATTCTGATGATACTGATAGCTTTCTGGCACTACTTTTTCCTGCGTCGTTGATTGCGAGTTCTTGAACCACTTGAGGGTGTCCACGATGTATTTGTGTTCTAGCACCTGTTTCGTAGTTAGCAATGGTATCGAGCAGTTGTTAAGCCATTCTTGTAGCCAAATACCGTACTCTATTGCTTGCTCGATTCCAGTGTTACTAGGATTCATCTTGGTGACTTGCAGTGCCTCCATTACCTCTGATGAAAATGTTGGCTTGATCACAGGTAGTGTCTTTAGCGTATTCCTCTGGATAGTAGTCGCGGTGATCAAAGAATCATCGTGTTCCTCATGACTGTTCGATCTTTCGCTTGTGACGCTGTGACTGCGGGTTCTGTTCTCGCTGCTGTCATCACTAACTACGTTGTCGAAATTGTTGTTGTTAAACAAATTCAGATAGGTCAGCGCATTTTCAGTTGTGCATTGATTTTTCGTTGGTAATTTATCCCATTTTGCGTACTGCCAACACCAATCCTTTTGCGAGTTAAGTATATTATTGATGTCCTCTAAATTATGTTTACTAAATCGGTGTGTATTCAATACTTTTTGCACGGACCACGGCCAAGACACATCGCCGCTGATATTTACGTCATCGTTGGTGATGTTATCAATTATCCTAGGTTGAGCGTTGTTTTCGTATGGAGATGCTGGGGCTGGTGTCGTGGGTGCTCCTGTTGCAGGTATCACGCTCGGGGATTTCCGTGTGTACGAGCTGGTATTATCTTGGATTGGCGCAACGGCGATATTCTTTTTGCCGATAGTACAGTTCAACGCGTCCCCCATAGCGT